GCAGGACAAATTGTGATCACAAAAGCTCACCTTAAGCACTTTGTGCTCAATTGAGCTAAAAAGTAGTCTCTTCATTGAAATGTGTGAAATTATATAATATTTTGATAATCTTCAATTTATTAATTACCATGTTACAGGCAATTATATTGATAATTAGTGAAAATGCAATAATTTGACCTTCAAGGTAAGGGTCATACATGAGTTAAGGTCAATTTGAGTTTGATATACATGAAAGTCCATACAAAAGACGTTGTGTCTAATTTTGAAGTTAATCTATTAATGAAAAACAAGATATAGCCATTTACAGGAAAAAAACAGGAAAATTTCATTTTTCTGACCTTGACGGTCAATTAAAGGTCAAGGTCATATCTAAATTATTCAATATGTTTGTTTGGAAGCAAGTCTTATTTTGTCTAAATATAAATCAAATTCATACATAAATAACAAAATTAAAAATATCTCTATTTCTTTTTTCTTAAAAAAAAGTCAAACTATAGTGGGCTAGCAGCATTAAAGAATACATAATGAAAGTCAGATATGTATATTGAAACGAAAATATGATGATATGTTGAGTTTGTGCCAAAAATAAATAATACCGCGAAGATACTATTTGTTTTATATTAGACTACTCCACAGTGAAGACCACTGGGATTTTTTGGCTTACTTTATAATAAAGCCCATGTTCGGTCATATTCCCAATTGAAAATAGTATATTATTTTCTCAATCCACAGGAAAAAATTACCAATTGAAATTTACAAAATAAACATATTGAATAACAAATCATAAAAACTTTGAAAATAAGGGCTTCTTCACTGTTATGGGGTTTAAATGTTTTAAAATGCTTTGCATTCATATAATCACTGCAAAATTTAAGTCATGCATATTTTTCCCAATTTTTAACAAAACATTGCTGAAATTCCGAATTCTATGGGAATGGGTCATATTCCCAATTTGTTTGTTTTGGGTTTTACGTCACATCGACACAGTATAGGTCATATCTCGACGTTCCAGCTTTACTGGTGGAGGAAGACCTCAGGTGCCCTTCCGTGCATTATTTCAGGCACGAACGGGCACCTGAGTAGAACCACCGACGTTCCTTAAGCTAGCTGGATAGCTTCCTCACATGAAAGAATCCAAAGTCCCTATCGGGATTCGAACCCACAGCGGTGAGGGGCAAGTGGTTTGAAGTCAACGACCTTAACCACTCGGCCAAGGACGCCCCTCATATTCCCAAAATCCTGGAAAAAAAACAAAAAACCTTGGACCGTGAGTAAAATGAGTGTTGAACTGTATCTCAGTATACAGATTTGATTTTCCTTTTTTAAAATGGTTTAATTTAAAGGAAACTGTTTGTTGTAGTAATGAATACAGCATGAATGGATGAAATTGTGCAAACAAAATGAAATTTTTTCATTTACAAGCATGAACAATCTCTCTGCTCTTTTATAACATAAACAGTTACATGAATTTTATTTCAAAAATGAATTTGTGAACAATCGTTTGATTATAGTTTGTTTATCCTGTTTCTTTAAAAAAAATAGAACTTAATGAGTCACTTGTTCTAATCTAAAAAAAAAGTCAATTTTCTAAAAGGATTTACAAAAAATGCTTGAACTAGTCAATGGTAATTATTAATAAGTGACAGTTTACAGAATTCCATCACTGTTTCAAGTGGAGAAGGTAATAGTTGCTTGTGGGAAATATACTATTATAGTCCTATAAATATGACGAGATATTTTTGCTACTAGGAAAAGCTTGACCGACACAAATTATAACAAGACCATAAGGTCTGATATATTGGACTATAGTTTAACACCGAGACTATCGATTTCCTACAGTTTTGCGTCTAACTGGTTGAGACTGAAAGACGGACAACTATTGTACAGTATGTTATATTAGTTTGTAAAATCGATGGCAGCCGAAATATTGGACCTATCATTCCCAGTGTCTATTCTAGGAATTCAAAAATAGGGGTGATTTTCCCCCCTCTGTTTCAAAAAAGGGGGGGGATTTTCAAAATCAAGGGGTGCCAATATAAACTGCCAATGCTAAATTAGGCATTAAGTTTACACCGAGGCGTTCAACCGATGAAATAATTAAAACGAAAATATTTATTTAAGGCAGCAGAAGTTGTCCCCCCTTAATTTTTAAACAAAAACAAATTATTATAGAACTGTCGCGATTGATTATAAAGGGATTGACAATACAAACAATCAACCTACCTTTCACGTCTAGATCGTAGTCAAGCTAGGAATTGCCTAATTTTTCTTGATTATTTACTACACTAAAATGGCGCCCAACTGTCATACTTAGCACACTAGTTCCGGTGGGTATGGAACATTCCGTTAATTTTCGTCAACTCCCGTAACCAGTACCATACGGTACTAAATTATTATAATTAGCTTACAGTTACCTCCCTTTGGTTTCGGTGTAAATGTAAACAAAACAACCAAATATAATGCGGGATGGAAGTTTTACGATTTTATTAACTTTTATTATAGATGCGCGATTTTCACGCACATGATTTTGAATTGTGCACGATCTGTGAAATACTAGCGTGAATCGCGCGTCTTAGAATAGACCCTGCATTCCCCACGAATGTTGTAGATCTACAGTGTTGAGGCTACTCTGAGCTTCTTGCGTTGTTGACACAATTACTTCACGCATGATGCACTGAAATTTGCAAAGCGCGTTTTCTATGACACAGCCATAATCTACCTTAATTGGATATCTTTTCATTAAGTTATAAGCGCTATACCGTTTAAATCGGCAAAAATTGTTTGAGTATCCTAAATTTGTTTATTTCCGGAAAATGTATAAATTGCTAACCTATTCTGTAGTGTTATAGGCACATTTTCTATCCCATTTTTAACCATTCTACAATCAGTCACCATATCTGGGATTTAGACATGTACGGTCTGGACTCTGGGTAAACAAATGATTTTTGTAAGTGGCCAAAATATCGAAGTTTCTGATATAAACAGATGTCTGACAGTTTAATTGTTTTAATCAATTTAATGCAAATAAGCCTTGGTTCTTTCTTTAAAGAAGATTTTTCGTTCAGTGAGAAACTGAAGTTAACATGTGAAATCAAATAGTTCCGAAATGTACTTTTTTAGAATTTACTTCCTTCATAATTTCAAATGACCCCAATTTTTTTATACAGAGGGTCACAAATGACAGCAAAAAATCTAGTCTGGCAGTTCTCTAAACTCTGGATCTATCCGCTTTCATTGACTATCCGAATGTATTACACCGTATCAAGGTCAAGTTTTAATGGATAATGGTGAAAGTCTAGTTCATAAACAACACTTACCTGTTAAATTTTGACAGTGGGTTAATGATTGCATTCATTTTGACTCAGTGACAATATGAATGAAGGCTTTCTTATTAATGAAATCAATTATAATTTACATGAAAACGAATTTTCTTGACTGGCTGGCAGACACTTCTGAAAACTGGCGAAAAGGACTTCCAACTACCACCAAGTATAGCACAATCTTGCACGCATGGTAAAGCATAACATTTTGAATGCGTATTTGAAAAGTTCTGATGATGTTATGCTTCTTTTGTTTTGCAAATTGTTTAATATTATTCTTGACTCTGGTATTTTTCCAGAGATATGGAGTTAAGGAGTGATTTTACCATTGTAGGTGATGTAAATGACCCTGATAATACAGATCGAGGCATACCTATAAAAAGTTATTTTTATTAATTAAACTCTTTACAATATAATAGATCATATATTCTCTCTGATTTTCATTTACCAAGGGGTAAAAATCTATATCGTTGTGTAAAGCGTAATTTCTAGAGCTGTTATTGCAGAAACTGATCAAGAATAATATTAATGGTAATTATTTGAAAAGTTTGCATAATATGTATGATGAAGCAAAGTAAAGTGTAAAAGCTGCTAATAAACTTTCCAGTTTTTTGCAGTTTATATGTCTGACAAATATGCTGGTCTATATATACACTTGCTGATGATTTGAAAAACTTATTAAGAAATGAGAACTTAGAAGTATTTTTAAACTCTTTCTGCTCCGATATGCTGATGATACTGTCGTTTTAGCAGAACATGCAGATGAGCTTCAGTCTGCATTAAATGCTATGCTAGAATATTGTAATGTTTAGAATATAAAAGTGAACTTTGCAAAAACAAAGGTTATAATATTTTCTAGGGACAGGAATCGTAGGGAAGATCTATGCACCTCAATTTTCTTCTTGATCAGTTTCAGCTTAAATTTTACAAAATTATACTGAACCTCAAGCAAAGCACTCCTAATTGTTTCTTGCATATCAGACAGGATTTTCTTGCATATCAGACGGGATTATCTACCGTTTACACCGGTGCTTACACCCCTCATGTAAGACAAGTCGCGTGCTTTAAAAGACGTCATTGCCGCGCTCCTTTTATGAATGAATTGCGTTCTTATCTGATTAAATAAAAAAACAAACTTTTTGTTAAATTTTGTTTTGAAAACTATCTAGAATAATAGAAAATGGTCTAACTAAGAAAATAAGTCCGACCATAATATCTTTTATTGGGTCATTAATGCTGTACAGACGTTTAAATTTAAGAGTTGTTTACGTGACGTCATAATATAGCGCCAAACAGCGCGTGCAAAACAGAACGTAAATATATTCTGCGCGCTGTACAATGCAGTTGCGTAGCAAACAAGGGTGTTCGTTACCATTTTTCTTTGATAATGAAATTAAATCAAATTTTTTTTTTTCGTTTTCCGTGAAATATGGTATATATTTTCACTCAACATGATAAAATGCCACATACATGTATTTTCAAGAGCCGTGACTTTTCACTCGCCATCCCGGCTCGTGAAAATATGTGACATTTTATCATGTTTCGTGAAAACATATTCCATATTTTACGAAAAACGAAAAAATATCCTCTTAGTATATAAATTCTCCTGATTGAAAAACACTTATACATTAAGCCTGGAAAAAATAAAGAAAGAAAGAAAAAAAAAAGAGAGAAAAGACGGGGCTTTTGCCTTCTTTAATGTTCCATTTAATTTAAGTTTATTTCATCATCTGCCGTTTTTTATTGTCCCTTTTATTTGCACTTGCGTTATAAGCTCCTTCATCTTTACTTGCTTTTGTATTATAATTTTCGTTATAAGTTCCGGCATATTCATTTTCCTTCATACTAGATATTATTTTCCTCTTTACTAAACATATCATTATCAGTTCGTTGATTTTCATTTTCTATCTCCATTGGAAATTTTGTTATCAGTTCCTGCATTGGAGTTTTCCTCTATATTAGAATGTTCGTTACCAGTTCCTTGATTTTCATTTTCCTCTACATTAGACATTTTGTTATCAGTTACTGCATCGGAATTTTCTTCCTTATTAGAATTTTCTTTGTCAGTTACTGCATTTGTATTTGTCTTTGTATTTAAATTTTCGTTATCAGTTACTGCATTGGAATTTTCTTCTATATAAGAATTATCGTTATCACTTCCTTCATTTTCGTAATCATTTCCTGCATTTTCATTTTCATCTGTATTAGAATCGTTATCATTATCTGTACTTTCTTTTACCTCTGTATTTGAATTATCAGATTCTAGAGATGAAATGATGTTATTCTGTTCCTAAAATGTATAAAGAACATACCAATGATTGAAAATTCAGAAATTTTTCGTTTATGTAATAAAAACAACATTCTAACAATATCGGAAATGTTTCTATATAAACAAAGAAGGCCCGAAGCGTGCATTTTTCTACAGCAATGCACTCGCCGTTCTTATATTATCTCCCTGTGTATTTTCACATTGGGGGCGCCATTTTGTTTGAAAAATCTGATAAATAAAAAACATTTTTTGTCGAATTTTGTTGTGAAAACTATCTAGAATGGAGAAAATGGTCTAACTAAGAAAATGAATCCGAACACCAATATTTTCAATACTTTACTTAAAGCTGTACAGACGTTTAAAGTGTTGTTTACGTGTCGTCACAATGTAGCGCCAAACAGCACGCGCAAAACAATCAAATCAAGTACGCTATGTTAATGTCGCAAACGAGTTAAGTTTTACATTTATTTCGCTTTTAATAACTTGTATTTCGCTTGAAAAATTATAGAGTGAAATAAAATAAACAAACAAAGTTTTATATTCGTTATTCTCAAAATGTTTCTACACACGGTAGATTTAACGACAGTTTTTTTTTCAACCCACTGGAACAGCCTTTAAAGAACGTTTCTATTGGAAACTCTAAGGCGAAATCAAATTTAACCACCAAACATAAAGTCCAACTTGATAAAAATAATTTAATTTTTCTTGACGAGTAAGAATAGAAACATATATTAATTCTTCGTGCATTATATAGAGGATATTTGTTTAGTTCAGTGTAAGATCTGAATTTATTACATGCTTTTCGGTGGTTTATAGAAATATATCAGTGGTTTAAAACTGGTAATTTCACTGTTTGAAACAGTGAAATTACCACTTTGATAATTTCACTGTTTTGAATTTAAGCCCCTTATACGTTGTTTCAGTGAAATACCAGCGTGCACAGTACTGGGTACCAACTTAATGACGTGACATCGTAAATGATGTCACGTTTTATTATTATTTGGCGCGCTTTTCATTCAGTATTAGATTTAATGTCTTTTTAAAACATTTATTTGCATATAATAAAAAAAACATGTGTTAAGTTTAGTGTAAGATCGAAATATATTTCACCTTGTGAACACCAAAAGCTCATATTTCACTCATGGCTGCACTACTCGTGAAATATACGTTTTGGTGCTCACTCCGTGAAATATATTCTGATCTTACACTGAACTAAACAAATTTATTATATACTTATAAATGAAATATTGAGAAATATTGATGAAATAAAATGCGTATTTTCATTTTCCGTATTTTCACTGTAAAAATTTATTTTTCACTGCAGTGAAACATATTTTCCGTATTTTCACTGGTGTCTTGCCGGACTACTTTCTTTTAAATTCTGCCAGTATACAAAATTTAAGGGAAAGTCTTTTACATTTTAATGTCAAAAAAGAGAAAAATGTATATAATAAACAGAAAATTCAAGTTTTTTCTATAAATATATGATTTATTTTCATCTTGTGGCATGAAAATTACCATATTTCACTCGTGGCTACCGCCACTCATGAAATATTTATTTTCATACCACTCGATGAAAATAAATCATGTATTTATAGAAAAAACTTGAATATCCTCTATATATTTCACCGAGTGAGCACCAAAAGGTATATTTCACGAGTGGCGCAGCCACGAGTGAAATATGAGTTTTTGGTGGTCACAAGGTGAAATATATTTCAATCTTACACTAAACTAAACAAATTTTCTTTTTATTACATGCACAGAAACGTTTTAAAAAGAAATTAAACCTAATACTGAATGAAAAACGCGCCAAATAATAATACAACGTGACGTCATTTACGACGTGACGTCATTAAGTTGGTACCAAGTACTGTGCACGCTGGTATTTCACTGAAACAACGTAAGGGGCTTAAATTCAAAACAGTGAAATTATCAAAGTGGTAATTTCACTGTTTCAAACAGTGAAATTACCAGTTTTATATCACTGATATATTTCTATAAACCACCGAAAAGCATGTAATAATGTATAATAATGCACTTTTTTCGTTCAAATGCTTTGTAATTAATCACTCAGGCCTTCGTGATTATTAGACGCCGCTTGCAAGCGGCGTCTAGTAGATATCAGTGGCGTAGCTTCCTTTAGGCACTGTAGGCACGTGCCTACACTTTTTCCTCAGAAATGAAAAATTAAATGATTACAAAAATGCAATACAAATTTAAGGGTAAGGGCGGTAGATGTGTAGGTCCTAATTTTAGAAAATGACCTGTCACCTTATTTGAAAATATATCGAGTTTTATTTCATAACGAAAGTGTTGCCGTGTTATAAAGTTATTCTGTGGTAAAACCTATCAGAGACACCACGGATAAAGTTTTTGACAATATAAAAGTTTTTGAGCCCTTCGACTCAAAATATTATAAATATTACAAGTATGCACGACCAGGATATGCCATATCTAGATATTGGTAGACTGCTAGCTTTATACAACTGATGAGGAAACTAAGTGATATCTTTCGAATGAAGCCTTGACATCTTGTCTTTTATATTCTCTTCCATTCTTAAGATATTCATGGTTTAATTATGTTTACGTTATTCTGTTCAAACTGCATCTCCGTCAAATTTTGAGCACAAAACACAAAGTAGAATTGAAACCTGGCAAGTTCATAAAGTCGCTTTGAAGTAAACGTGAAACATAATCTGTGTTATTACAGAAGTTTTTTAAAATGTATTTTAATGATATATACAAGTTATGTGTTTGAATACACATCAAATTCTGCATTAATTAGCGTAGTGGTGGAGAGTTTGCTTTTAAAGCTAGCGGTGCAATTCTTTTTTTTTTATTTATACTTAGTTGAAACTTTATTTATTCATTAAATTGCACATAAAGTAACATTTACAAACATTTCACAACAATGTAATCCAGACAAGTAAAACAATACCTCAAGTAATTTTCAAAATAAAGATACAAAAATGTTGCGTATAAATGTAAGCTCTTTGAAAGTACAATTAAAAATAAGAGAATAATTGATTTTTGAATTATCACTATAGAGAGACATAAGTAACTTATGGAGAAATATTAGAAGAAAGGAAGCATGTAAGGAAAAACATGATTGAAAATATCCGATTTTTTAGTTCTTAAAATAAACATGTAAATGAATATGAGCGTTCTGACATGCCAAGTTCATTCACACTGATAGGAATTCTTACAATTGCGAAATAGATTTTTGAACATTCTGAAACTACTTCGCGCGAAATACTCCATTCAAATTACAAAAAATGTTTGATAATAAAAGTTCTTCGGAATTCTTTTTCTTTCATTACTGTTGGTAACGTACTTATTGAATTACTGGAGGTGTAAGTTTGCTTTGTCTTTACTTTCTTTATATGTTTTACTCACGTAAACAGTCATATTCTATGTTCTATATATGTTTCACCATAAACAATAAAAAGTGGCTTTCATTTATGAATTATTGGAGCATAAAATCTTATTGAGAAAATGTATTCGATGCTGTTTGTGTGACATAAGATATTTCATCATCAATTGGTATTTAAATACCGATTGTCCGGTGTAGCAATGTGTTATTAGGGGTGCTTTGGCGTTCGATCTTCTTGATCATTGTTTTATTATTTTCTAATTATATATTTAGACAACCTTATTTTGAATTTTTAAATTTTGATATTTGCTTCAAAATTTGCATAAATTTGTTCTTTTTAAATGTATAATTCTGAATTCGTATATCATTACCCCAATGGTGTTTACGGAAAAAAGCTCTTTTTGCCAAAATGTTGAGTTAGTGATATACATGTATTTAGTATTGTCATCTTTATATTGATGGAAAAATGTATCGAAAATGCAGCAAAATTATGAATACTCTTCCTTCAGAACATGCCTTAACATACGCCAGAATGCAGCTATGGCAATGTAGTATTTCAAAAATTTTCGGGGGAGCATGCCCCCGAACCCCCCTAACACAAATGCCTACACATTGGTTTCTTTCAAGCTACGCCCCTGGATATGCATTTGTCCATACAGCAATGGGGAAAATTGATTTTGTGTATTTTTTTGTTTTAACAAAATCACACTGTTCTCAAATTTTCTAATAAAAATAGCTTTTCTGATGTACAACATGTCACGGAGCTTTAAGGGATTTGAATAAACGTCTAACTGAAATTATAATGCCATGTTTGAATCTCATATTCTTTTTATCATTATCTAATTTTATCTACATTGGCTCGTCGGAACGATTTTGTGATTGGTGCGGCCAATTTGGTTGGTTTTAGCCAGAATCTAGGGGGAGTACGGGGGCATGCTCCCCCGGAAATTTGTTTTATTCTAGGATGCTCTCAGGGGCGTTTCCCATATATTTGGCACAGTTTACAGCCTGCCGCTAGTATATGTTATAGTAATATGTCAACGATTTTTTTACAGATTTAAGTGCGTCGTAAGTTTTAAGGGTGACATTTAAGGTTCGCATAACGGACGAACAGGTGTACATAAAAGATGAATACATGTAATTGATATTTGGCAAATGAAAAATAAACAATAACTGATGTTGTTATAATTCTTTAGATGCATTTTATCTGATAATTATAAATAAACAAATTCAAGACATATTACAGTACGTGGATTATTGTTTAACATAAATCAGACAATGGTATAAGCTTAAATAACAATCGATGACATGATGGAAGAATAGTACAAATTACGAGTTAACAATAACCACTTTTTGTTTAGCAGTCACTTGTATTTTGTTCACAATAATCTTTCACAACACAGAGTCTCATTTTATGTAAATTTTCAAAAAAAAACACATCACCGTCGTTCTCTAGTGGTCATGAACTCATCGGCAATTATACGTAACTTGAGTGAATCTGTTCTGTACTTATGAATATGTAACACCATTAGATTGTTCAAACGTACTTGAGACATTGTCGATCTCAGGTATGTCTTTATTCTTTCTTCTGAGCGCCGAGAATGTCCTGTCACTGGTAGCATTAGTAGCAGTCATTACTAACAAAATC